TAGAACTAATTAAAATTATGCCATTTATTAATGAATATGGTGACAAATATTATTGGAAGGAACAATTAGATTTTGAACATGAACAATATACGGTATTTTCTCATAATCGTTCGAATTTACAATCTTGGTTAGATGATAAAAAAAATACGTTTGATTCTTTAATGAAATATGCTAAAAATAAACAAGAAGTGAAAGAATTTAAAGAATGGGTGAATTCCCTTTCTTCATTCTTTGATTATCATGATCATGATTCCAATATTTATCATGATCATGATTCAAATATTTATCATGATTACTACTTTTCCCCTCTTGCTTACTATGATTTGTCTTTGTCATTACCTTTATCACCTTGGATCTATAATGACGATGAGTTACTACAACCAAGAAGACGTCGTCGTGAAAATTTTGAAAATTCGGGGGAGCCAAAAAAGAAATATTATGTTAAGGCTACAAAGAAGGAAATTAAAGAAAAGAAAAGAAAAGATTTTAGCAAATATAATAAATATCAGAAGGGAAAAGTTTTTAAAAATAAATTTGCTTATAAGTATGGTTAAAATAGACCGAAATGTGTAGACAATTAAAATATCTTATATCGGTCAAAGATATATGATATAACGAGACGAACTTAGAAAACGATTTTCAAAAATTCCTTTTATTAACTTAATTTTGTAAAAAAAAAAAATAAAATAAAATAAAAGCTCCAAGTCAAGTATTTGATCAAAAACTTTCAAGCATAAAATGTTTAACATGTAGGACTTCAAAAAAAGTGTATGATCGTTTACGCGTTTATTACAAATAAAAATTATTTACTTAGGAATGATAATGTCTGTCAAGTCTTACTGTGTTTCGAAATAATAAAAGTCAAAACATATAGTTCCCCGGGTATACATATAAACTGTACTATACGTTTAGCTAAACTGTACTGTATGAAAATGAAAACAACCAATCATATTTTATTGTAGATAACGACCTAACGATTAAATCATCCACTCAATTGGATCAATAAGTTCTTCACGATTATGTGTCAATAATAAATTAGAATAATGTCAAGTGTTCAATAAAAAGTATTCAATTGCCCATTAGTTGTATTTGAAAATTTAAAATATGAATGCAAACCTACCAATAAATCATGTGCTGCTTGAACAAACAAGCCTATTTAATTTAGTAATAGAGGAATATTTGATAGCTATGTTTGATAATGGACATTCTAACGGTCTAAAATAATTGATCTCTTTCCATTCCCAATCGAATCTGATTATGCCCTAGTTGATGCAAATCCATTTTATTCGGTAAATCCACTCTCAGAGAGTATCATAAAATTAAATCAAAAAAATAAATACCTACCTTTCGATTATTGACATTTATAAAAGGACTTAGTATTTTTCTTTCTTACGAAATGGTGGATCTGATCTTGCAAGTTCAAACAAACCCTATTCTTTAGAAGAGAATTTTCACAGCGCTGTTTGGAAAATGAATCATCTTTTCACTACCAATTTACAAATATGGATTTTATAAAAAATTTGATTTAAGAAATTTTAAAATAAATAATTCAATTTAGAAATAAACGACCAACAGAAAAAAACAAATTTTAACTCATGAATCATTTGTACTAGATACTTACTAAATCAAATTTATTTTCTATAAAGTTCAAAAGGGAATGCGGTGCCTCTCTAAGAAATCCGTATGCTTTAGTCGACTTACCACCAACTTTATCCCGCCAGCTCTTTATAAAGCTGTCACTGTGGACGAGGGTAGTTGTTCATAGACAACTCTCCGATGGGTTACCCTTATCGTTATACCCTGCGATAAGTTTATATATCATAATGAGATCATGAAATATATAACTAAACTTAAATTTTACCTATTAAAAGCGAATTAATTTTTCAAACAAGTGCTTTTTAAAACTTAAACAGATAACTGACAAATTAGTAGATTATTTAATGAGAATTTTGGAAATTGAACGCGCATACCAAGGGTACGTTTAAACTAGAGACTGGACTCGTATTCGTGTAACTCGAGTCAACTTGAGTTAAATTTTGATTCGAGTCAAAATTTTATAGACTCGAATCTTGATTCGAGTAAGAATTCAAGTAGACTCGAATTATATATACTCGAGTTAACTACTCGAATTCTTACTCGAGTTAACTGTTTGAATTATTTGAGTGCATTCTATACTTAAGATATTAACATTTCATAAAAATTAGTTATGCAGTAATTCTTAATAATTAATTGAAAAGGCGTAGTAACTCAAGTTTAGAAAACAAATTTTATAATTAAATAAAATGTATTTATAAAATAATTATTTTTTTACATTAAAATAAACACAAGGTATTTTTGTTCAAATTTCATATTATAATTAATAAAATAAAGGTAGATCACGGGTCATATTCAAAATTTCGATGCGATGCTATTATGCATGCAAACTGAAAAATCGATCTAATAATTGTGGTTTAAAATTAAAGAATGAAATTTTAATTATTTACATTTGTCTTAAGGAATTCCAAAGCAATTAACTAATTGAAACACAAACGATTTACCATGTACAACTTTAATTTGTATCTGAAATAAAAATTATATCATGAATTATCACACTGAAATTTTTTACATTGGCATCTAGCCTTATTAATTTCAATTGAATAAATGTTTCACAAAATCGGGAAATCCTGGTTAAAAAATTAGTTAAAATAACATCCGATAAATAATAAATGATCTTCGGTCTTTCTAACTTCTTCAAGAATAATGAGCAGTCACGCGGGATTAAAGGCAAAATTGCGAAAGTTTCGACGGGTGGCAAGATGGCGAAACCTTCTGATATAAAATACAATTTTGAATTTAAAAATTTATTATTTTTGTTTTACGAGATGAGCAAATCGTATATAGCAAAGATCACTTTCTTTTATAATATCATACATTTATATATTTACTAGGTAACGGAAACCGTTGGAAAGTCCGGAGCGATAAATATGGTGTAAATAAAATGATCACTAACACATCAGCAAAAAAGTATACAATCACGTGCAAATTGCATCGACTCAAACAAGCGGGCGGACAGACTGACAAATTTATTAAGTTGCATAGTATTTAATAGTCTTTCGCTTACGCTCCGGACTAATAAAGGATAAGAAAAAAAATCAAAAAATTTACATATTGAAATTGTATTAATTTATTTTTCATCAAGTCTAGTTACAGCATTTAACTCTCATATAAACTCTGACAGTATACTTGTATTCTTCATCCATTAAACTTTCATTTGAAAAATCATCATTTAGAGGTTGGAACCGGGTTCGACATTCGGATTTAAACCCAGATATATCTATCCCATTCGAATTTATCCAGCACAAAACCGGTTTCTCATGCAGCATAATGATTAGAACGATTTATCTATTTTGACTAGCATTGATGTTTGATAGCATTGGGAAATCTAAAGTTTAAGTTTTTATAGGATTTTATAAAAGATAAATTAAAAGCACCGAGATCGTAATATTATCATTTGTAATTAATGCAACCGCACCGGGTATATGATGTTATAATTTATTAAGCTTTATATGATCTGCTCTGCACAGTTTTTGAATAGAGATTCGATATTCGGATTTAAACCCGGATCTGATTTTTAAAATTAAATAAATCCGGATATAAAAATAAACCCGGTCCAACCTCTATCATCATCATCTTCATAAGGTAATTTTTCTAATTCTTCAACAACTAGTGCTTTCAAATTTAAAACCTGCTCGATAATTAATGCATTATTTTGGAAACTTTGTTTTAATTTAAAATAAAAAGCAAAAAAAAAAAAAAATCTTTTTTATATTCTACATAGTGACACAATAAACCTGTTAAATCGTCAGATTCGCAAAGTTCTTATCGAAACTGTTGAAACTTTCGAGACCCGTCGAAACTGTCGAAAAAAAGTTTCGACTTTGTCAAAATGGGTTTAGGTTTTGCCCCGTAACTATACAATCTTTTTTTTTAAAAATATCACTTGCAATAAATTAATGAGTCCTTAGTCCGAATTTGGTCTATGCATTCTTAAGTAAAATATCAGATATCGGGACATTTGATATGCATATTTTATTTAGAGTTTATAAGACGCACGCAGCTATAAGTAGACAATCTTTCATTAAGATTTAGAGTAATTTTAGGAGAACCTGTTCGGGCTGAGATGTCATTGTTGATCATGTACTTTTATTATCATACACATTTGAGCGCACAAAAACAAGCCCAAATTTTTTTGGAGTAAAAAATAATTTTCTCACATCATCATCTTTGTTTTTATAAAAACAATTATGTTTGACAATGTTAAAGTAACAGAATTTGTTAAACGTCCTGGCTTAGGTCGTATTGGTCGTCCTATAAGTATTAGAGCAAGCTTTTTCGAAATAGCCTCTCTAACCGACTCGAATATCCACCACTATGACATTATAATTAAACCGCAAGTTTCCCCGACTCTAAACAAAGTTTTTTCCCAGTTTATAAGTCCTACATGGAGGTGATGTAAAGCCTGTTTTCGATAGTCGACATAATACTTTTGCCGCTAGACAATTACCTTTTGGCGATACGGCCATTTACAACATATGTCTTTCGGAAGATGCCGGTTTTTCAGCTCCTCTGCGACCTCTGCGCCTTTTTAAAGTTATAACTAGGAAGGTCGCTGTAATTAATATGAATGAACTTCATAAATTCCTTGATGGAAAATGTAAATCATCACCGACTATTTTAACAGGTCAATTGATAATTATTAGTTGTTATAATTATTGATTACAAAATTTGTATAATCTTCAACATTAATCAGGAATTATGGCCCTTAATGTATTAATTCGTCAAAAGTCATTCTTGACGTGTAAAACAGTTGGTAGATCATTTTATACTAACCAAATTTCACAAGCTTGTTTTGGTGGTTTAGAAGTTTTCGCAAGGATTTCGTCAATCCATCAGGCCTACACCTGGAAAAATGATGATAAATGTTGATGTAAGCGCTACTGCTTTTTATGAAAGTAGTGATTTAGTACATATGGTTGCAAAGATACTCGAACGTAATGTTAATGATCTAAAAGGAGGAATTCATGATAGAGATCGGTTAAATCTTAAAAAAGCTTTAAAGTATTTAAAGATACGTGTTACTCATTGTGATGATGGTGTCGGATACTCGTATAAGATTCCTAAATTAACTAATACCTCAACATTAAATGGGAGGTTTGCTATTAAAATCGAGTTACGAAAATAGAAAATCATATGATCCGTAACGTGATTTTAATAGCAAACCTCCCAAATACTCAACTTAATTTGGTGATGAACGGATTGATATTGCTTCATACTTTCAAAATACGTATAACTAACCTCTACAATTTCCATCCTTGCCTTTTGTGGTCGTCCGAGGTAATATATTGTTTCCAATGGAAGTATGTAAAATTGTTGAGGTATGCAAAATATGCAACTTTTAAGAGAATTAATTTTTTCTTCTTCTTAAATATAAAATCAAATAAAATAATTGCTAACGGTAAATCGTTTATTAGAACAACATTATATTCGCAAATTTAACGAAAGGCAGACAGCAGATATGACGAAGTTTTCTTGTCTACCACCTCATATCGGTGCAAACAAAATTAAACAAGGATTAGATATTCTTGATTATCGACAAAATGAGTATATGAAGCAATTTGACTTGATTGTATCTGAGGAAATGGCTGTAGTTTCAGCCAGGATCTTACCTGCTCCAACAATACTGTTTCAACCTTCTTCTCGTACCGCTGTCTTTGTTCCAGAAAAAGGGACATGGAATTTACGTGATAAGAAAGTTGCTACTGGGGCCACACTTGGTTCATGGTCATGCGTTGTTTTCGGAAATTTCGAAACGCAAGCCGTACAATATTTATCAGAGAATTGACTAATACATGTCAGGATACTGGTAATATTCAACAGATCTTGAGGCAAGCTTGGGTTAAAGCTGTCAATATATCCAAATCATCACCTCAGTTAACTTTTCTGCATTCTTCCTAATACCGGTGTACCAATGTATGCTGAAATCAAACGTGTGAGTGATACAGTAATTGGTGTTGCTACTCAATGCGTTCAATCCAAACATATTTTTCAAGCAAAAAGACAATATTGCGATAATTTATGTCTTAGAATGAACGTTAAACTTGGTGGTATGAATTCATTCATTGAACCAAGTTGTATGCAGTTTGTTACGCAACGCCCGACCATCGTATTGGTTGCAAGCGTCTCACATCCTGCTCCTGGTGGTGACGAGTCTCGCCCATCCATTGCTACTCTATACACTTCAATGGATGCAAAAGCATCTCGTTATGCCACTTCTATTAGTGTTCAAGCAGGTAGACAAGAAATCATCTCTGACTTGTCAAGTATGGTAAAGGGGCTATTGAAAACCTTTTACAGAGCTGTGGAAGGAAACCAGAAAGAATTTGTTCTATCGAAAAGGTATCTAAGAGGGCCAATTTGAACAAGTGATGGATTTTGAAATCGAAGCCGTAAGATGTATGTACATATTTTTTTCTAAAGTTATTTGAAATTTACAACATCCATCTTTATTTTCATTTTCTTAAAAAACAGCTGCATGTGCATCTCTTGATGAATTATAAACCGACCATAACCTTTGTGATTGTACAGAAACGACATCACACTTGCCTTTTCCCTGTGGATAAGAAAGATTCAGAAAATACAGGAAACTGTCCGGTTGTTACGGTTGTTGAATCAACAATAACGTATCCTTTCGAATTCGACTTTTATCTACAGAGCCACGCTGGAACGAGAGGAACTTCGCGTCCAACACATAATTACGTTTTGTGTGATGAAAACCGATTCAATGCCGATTCACTTCAAACTTTATCATACAATTTATGTTATTCATTTGCGCGATGTACATGTGCAGTTTATATTGTCCCACCAGTGTCTTATGCGCATTTAGTTTGTTCCAGGGCCAGGTTTCATTCGAGAAGTGAAATTTTAGATGATATAGATTCAGAAAATAGGAATTCTGTAATATCTTATGGTATGGTGAAACCTGAGTTACAAAGAGTTATGTACTTATTCAGGATTATTCAGCAATAGTATGCTTATTTGTAGAATTATTTTATGTAAATTAGAATTTTTGAGTCAAAATATTGATATATTCATAATTTGCGGTTTTTTATATTCAAACATGACTAATTATAATGAGCAATGAATTCAATAACTAATTGTGAGTCATTTTTCGATACAATTGAACTCGCCCAAATTTAATCCAACTTTAAGTAATATCGTTCAAAGATTCACTTAATGAATTTATTGCTACTTCATAGACGAGATTTCGTTCATATTTGAGGATAGCGAATAATGATCGAATCTTTCTTTTGGACGGCAAATTTGAATTTTTAATATTTAGATAAGCTCATTCCTTCATGTATCTAAAATTAGTTTAATTAATTCAGTAAATAAAAAATATTGTTCCGGAATCTGTTAAAATTTAAAATTATTTTCATATCCTTAAAAATAAAATTTTATGAGGAATACTTGCCTGCAATGAATTAAGGATATACTGTAAACCGATTGGATTTTTAATTAATAAGCTTCATATATATAATGGGTAAAGCTCTGAAGAGAAATAATTGATTTCTTAATAATGACATGATGTTGGGTGGCAGATAGATTAATTAAATCAAATATATGATATAGTCCAACTTTGGGTGTCCAGGTGATGCGAATACATATATGTTTGTGCCACATATTTTTAGACTTACATACAGTAGTAGCTTGATCGCAGCATAATAGGTACTATGCAGTTACTGCATAATAAGGAAAGTTTCTGTAAAGTTGATTCGAGGAAAAAGTACAATATTTACCTGCCAAGAAATTTTATATGAATAGAATAGGAATTTCCGTTCGAAATTCAAAATAGATTTTCGAATATTAAAAAACTTCAAAAAGTTTATTCAACATTCGAAGATGAATATCTAAACTTGATTTCATATATTTATCTATAAACGGACTATACAGTCTTCAAATGGTAACTCTTTATCATTTAAGATTTCGTCAGTAAAGGTAATGATTATAAACCGACAAAGTTATTTATGTACCTCGATTTATTTTTTTTACATACCTCAGAAAATGTTACGAACAGAATGAGGTTAAACATTTTTCTGACCTGTATAATGCGTCCGTCAGTAGTGCATCGACCATTGCTGTCATCTTCCTTTTATTTTAGAAATCAAGAATACTTACAATTTGTTGGTTGATTTTTTCGCAAATTTATATAAATAGTAATCAAAATATAACTCTGTGAATAGCAACATAGAAAGAAATGATATATGGTATTTTTAACTTTTTTTTTTCATTTTAAACCAAAATTTGATGACAAGACTAGACGATTAGAGAATATCTCTTTCTTTACAAATAAATGCAAGGAATAGCATGGCAGACATTTGTACAGTATGATTGGTCAATTTTATGTCGATCATTTCCTAATTATCATTAAAATAATTGATTTTGATTGGTTATATTTTATTATTAAAATAATATAATATTAATATCGCATTATTTTATAAAAATTATTGATTTTTCATAAATATTTCAAGAGCTATTTTAAATTGTTCTGTAACTTGAGAATCAAATAATAATGTTTGCTTTGATAAATCTTCAGGTTTATCATTTTCTATTAATTGAATTTCATCTTCTTGATCATTTTCAACTTTAAAATTTTCTTCAGTAATTCTAGAAATAATAGATTTTACATTATTATTAATTTCATTTTAATATATTTTAAACAATATAAACATTTATACTCAAGATATTGTAAACAATATTGATGATAAATATGACCATATGGAAGAGAAATAAACTTCATTAAGATGTAAGAAGTAAAATCATTAGATGTCTAATTGTAATATTTTACAAAAATCTTGTAGATGATACTTTTATAATAAATTAAATGGTAGATATTCTGAACTAAAAGCCATTGGTAAATGTCATTCATCTACATTCATATTAAGAGCTGCAAGATAATATGAAAGCTTATTTTTTCCATATTGATTAATTTTTATTCATTTGTTTTTTCCAATATTATTATTAACCTTTGTAAATAATTTTAAAAGAAAAATAAATGCTTTATTAGTTAAACCTATTAAATCTTTTTTACAATAAGAATATTTTTTTATTGCAATAAATATATCTTAAAATACATTATTATGACGAAAATAATTGATAATATAAGCTATTTTTGATATTTATTTATATATATCTATTTCTCTTATTTGTCTTTGAATTAATAAATAATATTTTCTATAGAATAATCAGTAAATGCTATAAGAAGTTTTTTAAAATATTAAGAATAGGATGATTAATACTTTCTCAATACTAAACATCTGAAAGAAAAAATAATGGTGCTTTATTATAATTTTTTCATTTAAATTAAGCAAATAAATACTATATTCTTATATAAGCTTCAATATATGTTTTCTAATTATCAGATCTAAAAATTATTGAATAAATATTTAAACTAAAGAAATAATATAACAAATTGGCACAATTTTTTCTTTAACATATGAAGCAACATTTTTCAAGTATCTAATATTAATTTTTCAAGGACGAGATTTATTAGCAAGCTTTTTTTTTATTCTAAAAATATATTAGTATGCAGAATTAAAAAAATCATAAAATAATAAAATAACAATTTTATGGCTGTTTAAAGATACATGTAAATGTCTTATAATTGGAATAAAAAAACTAATACACTCTGGAATTTTAATCTAATTATTCTTTTTTAATTGTTATTGTCTTTGTAATATAGTAATTACTTTCTGAGAATATATTTGACCTGACCAATCAGTAATTAATGGAATAATATTATGCTTAAGATAATCACAAAATTCAGGAAAAGATACAAATATTTTCATAGTATTAATATATGCTTCTATTAAATGCAAATTAAGCTTAATAAAATCAATTAATATAGTATTACTAAGTTATTAAAGAGCTATATAATGATTCTTTAGAAATTAAAGAATTGGTATCAATAAGTAATGGATTATATATATAGTTTCAATTTGTATCTACATTATATAAAATAGAATTGCATTTGCTATGGATATAAAAATAGTAAGAATAGTAGTCATATATGCAATAGAACTAGTTGTTATTATTATTAGCATTCTTAATTTATGAATATTATGATAATTATTAATATTTGCAATTATTGCATTTGTCTGATATTTTAAGAGTTCTTTTGTAACATTATCCCTATAAATTAAGAATATAATATTCTTCTCATGCTGATTTTCTCTTAATGTAAAATTTAATTGCATATTAGATAAAGTATTAATAGCTCAATCATATATACCTAAATGATTCAAAAATATTACGATATCTTTTTTTAGTGTACTAATATGTTTATTCCCAATTCTAACAAGAAAATAATATAAAAAAAGTATTCTTTCTACTTTTACAAGATAGTATGATCCAAGAAGTCCCTACTATTTAAAAAGGTTAATTTTTTAAATATGTTAAAGAATAGTGTAAAGTTAGTATCTTTTGATTTCATATTCTTCTTAAATAATTTCCAATCATAAATTGATAATATATTTTCTTTTTTTTCTCTTATATATAAAATCCATATTATTAATCTAACACTTTCAATAAAATCAATCTCACAAATTCCATTTACTTCTGATATTAATTTATCTTTAAGTCCATCAAGATCTATCTTTGAATTATTATATTTAATCTCTTTTATTATTAACCTGAGTTTGCTATCCTTAGAATCAATTCTTTTCATTATTAATTTGTCTTGTATTTAACCAAATTCTCAGTATTATTTTAAGGTAATAGTATTCTTAAAATTCTTAGAATATGTTCTATTTACAATACAGCTCATATAGTAATTATGATAAAATTGAGTATTGCTTAATTGTCAGGTAAAATCTGTAGTTTTGTGCTGTAAGGCTTTTATTTAGCTTCTACTGTAAACTTCTGAAACTTTGTTTCACTTCCTTCTATCCATAAATAATATATAGTTTAGAAAGTTTTTTCCAATTTGAATTTTCTATTATAACCTTTAAAATTGCTAAATGTACCTGTTAAAAATTATATGATTAACAGAATTAGTTTCAAAAAAATACTATAATAGACTATTAGAAATGTAATTGAAAATTTTTTTTAGTATCATATATTTAAACAATATAAAAAGTCAAGTTATATAATTCTATATAATAGTCAATTATGCAAATATTTGATATGTTACAAGGAATAAAAAAAGTTTGCGTGATTAAAAAGTAATGAACTAGTTTATAATTTTAATGAAGCCTTAATTTAAGCAGAATTTGAAATATTATCTTTCTCTAATGATAAAAAAAAAATAAAATTCTGAAAATTCTATAAATATTAGCTTGGATTAAAATTTTGAACTAAAATTCTACTTACATTACAAATTTTAATATATGAACAAATAATATAAAATTGATGAGTTAGTTTCTTTTAGGATCTAAATTAAATAACATACTTTAAGGTAATTCCAATTTATTAAAAATATCCTAAGGATTTTTAAATCTCATCTATTTCAATACAAGGGCTAATTTCTAGGAATGCAATAAAAAGACTTGTAATTTTAGAACATAGATCCTAAAGTACTATATTGTGATCCTAATAAAGGTTAGAATCTAATAGCCTCAAAAATAATCCAATAATTACTACCTCATATTCGCATATTCCTTTATAGAATATTGTGTTATATTCATAATTTAAATGAATTTATTAAGAATATAATGAGATCCAGCTCTCTTTATGAAAAGAATATTATTCACTACAAAAGCAATTCCAAAGGACTCAATAATAGATATAAATATTAAATAAAATTAAAAGTAATAAATAAAGTATAATTACATTTTTTTTATAATTTATAAATTACTTTCTGATTCTAGCAAAACAATAAGGCTAATATAAAGAATAAAAATCTTGGGCAGATTACTAATAAAACATTTGAATAAATTCTTGCAGAAAATTCATTCACACAAATATTATTATTTTTTTTTTATAAATGATACTATTAAAATATGTTATAAAAACAAATTTGATAGAATAAG